AGTTCAGGCTGGTCTTGAACTCACTCATTTGACAGCAGTTAGATGCCTCTCTGAGCCTTTTTTTTTTTCCCAACTACTGGGGATTAAAATGCTCTGTCACTGAGCTACACCCCCAGCCCTGGAGTCCTCTTTGATTTATTGGCCAACTCCTTAGCTCCACTCCTACCTGGAAACACATAAGACACACAGACACACAGACTCACACAGACACACACGAGCACATAGGGATACCCATAATCAGTCACTGTTGTCATCAGATCAATCAAAACAAAACAAAAACTGACTAGATCACTCCTCAAATTGAAAATTTTTCAGTGCTTTTCTGGCAGCTGTGGATAAAGTTCAAAGTAGACTACTTAGTTTGGCCTGCAGGGCTGCTCAGGATCTGACCCTTACCTTCCCCGCAGCCTCATTGCCCGCTGCTCTTTGACATTTTCACTGTCCACCCGTTTTACTGGAACCACTCTCCAGACCGAGTGGCCTTTCTCAGTTCTACACTGTGGTTACTGTTGGAACCTCCGCATGGAACGCCTTCGGCTTCACCAACCTGAAGTTCCTATTCAAGCTTCTTTAAGGCCCAACCTTGCCCAGCTCCCCAGGCAGACTAAGGTAGCCCCTATTGTTGTCCGTACCTGTCAGTATTACCACATTGTGTTGTGATGAGCTTATTGAGGGCGGAAAGATGATTTTGGTCATTCTCTGCCTCCAACACTCACACTCTTGAAATGTTTGTTGAATGGATAATTGCAGGGTCTTTATGACAGAAACATCAGTCCTCAAACGTCTCGTAAGCCTGCATTATGGGAGCAGAAGGAGGTCACATTGCTTTCACATCCTCCGTATACCTGCCTCCTGCATCTGTCATGCTTTGGGAAATAATATCAGAGTATTTGCATTCCAAGAGAAAGGGGTGTTTGCGAGACAGTGACCCCTAAAGATCCCTTTGCTCCAGCTGGGTGGCCGCGCCAAACCTCAGAGTAAGACCAGTGAGCCAGCCTGGGCGGTGAAGAGTGCTAATGTTTGGCAGCCGAGAGCTTTGATGAGCGGGACCGCGGGACCCCCGTGAGAAGGAAGAGTGAGAGCAGGCATGTAGGAGCAGCCCTACAAGCTGGAATCTTGCAAAGAGAGGGCAAGAGCTAGCATAAAAACCTTTTCTCTGCAGCCATGTGGAGCAGGAGGTACGGGGTATGGGGGGAAGCAGGCTGTGCTTTACTCTTGTTGCCAGGTGGCACTCAGCACCTGGACTCTTTCTCCCCAAGAGCCAGGGGAATCCTGCCTTAGGCAACTACATGTGATGCCTGATTTCGAACTCAGGAGAATCTTTGAGAAGGCGCTGTTCTCCACCCCTCCCTTCGCCTCCCCTTTCCCAAGCTAGGCCAGAATTTTAATGCAGTTCTAAATCCAGAAGCAATCATTAAGTTGTTCCTGAAAAATAATACTTTGTGAAAGCACTAATCTCACATTCAGTTTGGCTGTGTGGCTGCAGTGCTCACATGATACATGCCTGGGTAGTGTGAGAACTAATGAAATCAACAAGTCCAGTTGTTGAGCCAGTGATTGTTCTTTTATAGGATTGGTACAAATGTGTGTGTATATGTATGTGTGTTTCTGTTAGTATTAGGGATTGAACCCAGGCCTTTGCACTGAGCTACATCCCTTGCTCTTCTTAAATTTTTATTTTATTTTTCATTTTGAGACAGAGTCTCACCAAGTTGCTAAGTTGCCAGGCTGGGGTTGAATTTGAGATCCTTCTGCCTCAGCCTCCCAGAGTTGTGGGATTATAGGTTTGCACCACCATTCCTGGCTAACAAATGTATTTTGTTTTGATGTTTTCATACATGTCTCATTATATCCAGGTACAACTATTGGGTTTTTCTTTTCTTTTCTCCTGTTGAACTGAGCTAAGTAGCAAAGAGTTGAGAAAATATGGTAAGGGTACAGGATAACATAAAGTCTGACTTTTTCAGAGTAATCTTTTTTTTTATCCAGCCAGCTGATAAGGAATAAACAAAAAAACAATCTCTTCGGCATTTTTGATTGCTGACAGCAGCCAAACTACCGAACTCCAACAGTACTTCCTTAATTTTATAGATCTCAAATAATATTAAAAGAATTATTTATTTTTGAGACAGGGTCTCTCTAAGTTGCCCTGGCTGGGCTTGAGCTTGTGCTCGTCCAGTCTCAGCCTCTCAAATGCTGGGATTGCAGGCATGCATCACACACACAGAGGTTTTTGGTTCTTATTCCTTGGGCCACTTAGAAGTGATATAAATGGTAAGAGACCTGGGGTAAATAACTTGCAGCTCCTTCCTCACTTTTTTTTTTTTATTTGTTTTGGTACTCAGAATTGAACTTGGGACCTTGTGCTTGCCAGGTAGGCATGATGATTCCACTGAGCTATATTCCCAGCCCACTTTTTTTTTTTTTTTTGAGACAGGGTTTCACTGTGGCCTTGAACTCACTATGTAGCCCAGGCTGGTCCCGAATTCAGTGATCCTCCTGCGTCAGCCTCTGGAGTGCTGGGATTATAGGCATGTGCCACCATGCCCAGCCCTTTTAAACTTTTCTGTGAACAGAAGATGTTATCTTATTGTCCAGTAAGTTTAAAGGTGATTGTCTGTAATGAGATTCTTAGAAAGAGGTATGTTGGAAGATACTAACATTTGGTTCAACTAATACTTGCATGCTCACTCTGCCAGCCTGGAGGAGACTGCAGTGAAGGAGAAGCACACCAGCCTTACTGTTTAACAGAAAAGGCGGATGTTAAATAATAACTGCAAGTGGGATAAACTTTGGAAAGATATAATAGTGTGTTAATGACGGCACACAGCATGGGGCTCTCCCTAATCTCTAGGGCAGTGGTTTCCCAACCTGAGCGGCATTAGAGTAATTTGGAGGGCATTCGTAGTTTCCAGTCCTGTCCAGGATTCCACAGAGATTTTTACCTGCCTGGGTGGGAATCACTTCTTAAGGAGGGTGACAAAAAGTGTCAAGAAGATCTTTCTGAGGAAGTTAAAGATCCTAAAAGTGGGAGCCAGTCTAGATGATGATGGAGGCCAGAGGAGCTTTGCATGCTGAGGAAACACTATGTAGGAAGGTCTGAAGGGGAGGGAAGGGGGAGTGTATTCAGAGAATTAAACAAAGCTCAGGGAAAGAGGGTCTAATATAGCGTTCATTGCCTTGCTTTGTGTTGACAGCCCCTTTCAACTGTAAGCTCCTTGGTGACAAAAACTATATTTTTCTCTAGCACCTAGTGGGAACTCAGTAAATATTTGATGACCAAGTGAACAAAGTTTCTGGCTATAGGAGCTTAGTTCAGAGTAGACGGTAGAAAAGATGACTGATAATTATGAAAGAGGATGATGACTTAGAACTTTAAAATAAAAATCTTAGGAGCACTTGATTTAAATGAAATTTTATGGAAAGTTTGTGATACCAAACTGTTCTGATTGCATTTGTGTGGGAATTGCTTCTTAGTTAACCTCCTCCCATACATTTGAAACTATTCAAAAGCACGTTTTGCTTTTATTATTCCCTCCGCTGTTTATATCCTCTTGGCTAAATCACTGTTTTCCTTTCAAATACTAGTACCTGACCCTTTCTCCTCTTGTCTCCTCTGTAGTTAGGTGCCTACTTGGTCCTGTCAGTTTTTGGCAAATGCTTCTCTTGTAGTATATGTTGAGCTAGTGGTTTCAAGAAGTTTCTAGAAGCCTTCTCTCTGGCTTTGCCAACCTACTCTAGTATCCTGACATTTTCTGCACACCTACAGCTTGAGGTGAGAGGGCTGGGATCCAGAGTGTATGTCAGAGGGTTGAACTTGGAGAACAGTAGGGAAGGAAAGGGTGCAGTTACAGACAGGATTGTGGACTTCAAGCGCTCTCCTGCTCATGTTCACTTGTCATAGAGATAGAAGGCCATGCTTTTTTCTGAAGGAGGTGAAGGGAGAGATGAAAATAGGTGCGAAACAGTGTTAGGGTGCCAGGTGGCGAGTGTGGGCTGGTGGCTTACAGAGAAACACAGGAACATTAGGTGGCATTGTGTTTTGGTGAAAGTCGTTGATGACTCCGGAATGGTATCAGTGTGCCAGCATCTGTCATGTTTTTCCCTCTTTCACTAATGCTTAGTTGTTTGAGTATAGACACTAAATAAAGGTGGTCGGGATGGGTCAGCTAGAGTTGAATTTGATCAGAGAAGCATGAGAGAGAGACTTTTAAGGGCCAAGTGTGTGGATAAAGAGAGGAGTCAATGTAGGTGTAGGTGGGGTAAAGTAAGTTGTGGGATAAGTGTCGTTGAGGTTTTAAATAAGCTGAGCAGTCATTGTGAAAAGGAGTTTAATTCAGGCTGTGGAGAGTCAGTGAACTCCAAGACAGCTGCATTAAGTTAATGCTGCATGGTGGGTGGAAAGACCTCAGAAGTTGAGGTCATAGGCAGTTTACTTCTCTGAACATGAGCTCCAGAGGGTTATATTTTTTTATATATTAAGCGTGGTTATATATTTTTATATATAGACATTTTGACATGACAGAGTCAAACTGCCTCTGTTGGAATCCCAGCTGTTATCTACTAGCTGTATGACCTTCAAGTTTCATAATTCTTTTGTGACTTAATTTCCTTATCCGGAAAATGGGGATAAAAATAGTAGCAATCTAGTAGTGTTTTGAGAATTAAATGAGTTAATATAGTATTTGTAAGGCACATAGATAAATGCTACCATACAGAGAGTATACATAAGTACTTATTAAATAAAAATAGTACCTTCCATATGTATCTTTAATTTGCTATGTAACTTTTCACAGTATACCATTTTTCTGATGCCAGGCTACTGTTTCCTTCTCATCTTTCATTTATTACTATTACTCCCTAATTAAACTTTTACTATATGTTCAGTTGAGCTACATATTTTTCACTGAAGTAGGAGCTTTTTCATTAGGCTTGTAAGTTGATACTAATCACTCAAAAATATATTTTTAAATATTTCCGTTTTATGAATTTTATTTTAGCTGTTAAACGTTTAATGAAAGAAGCAGCAGAATTGAAAGATCCAACAGATCATTACCATGCGCAGCCTTTAGAGGTTAGTTCTCCACGTGGATTTTTATACTTTACTATGTAAGACAAGTGCTTTAAAAGTGCTTTTTCATTGCTTGGAGTCTTTACACATGTGTTTGATGTAGTTTATTGATCGCTTTCTCTATATTTTATTAGCTTTCAGAATTAGACATTTTAGATGAAGCAGATTTCTGGTCTGTAAGTGGGTCTCAGATACCACATTAGTGTTAGGTCTTGAGTGTGAGGCAGGAAAAGTGGAAAGAACCCCAGACGCTACAGTTTGGAAGACTCAGTCCCTTGAGAGATCTCCGCGGCTCCTCTGGGCTTTTTGTACAGACATCTTTGCCTGTCTTCAATCTTGTCGTTTGTGAAAGGGTGGTCTTTAAATGTGCTCAGTCAGGTTTTCATGGCAGTAGTGAGGATAAAAACATTATAATGTATGTACAAGCATTTTGCAAATTGAAAAGTACTTGGTAACTGTAAGACGATATTAATAGCAAACATTGTTAGCAAATAGTTAATATTACTGACCATTTATAAACAAATTATGAGATAATTTTTAAAGATTTGTTAAAATAACTCAAATTTATAATAATTGTTATATGATAATTATCACAAATTGCATTCTTTCAAAGATTAACTTCTAAATTAAATCTGTAATCTTATGAATGTATAACATTAAGTTTTTAGTGTATTTGCTTAAAAATATTTTAGCTTTTATGAGACATAAAACTTAGGTTAAATTGCTTTTATTTATACCTTTTTATTCTTAAGTCATTTTGTGCAGTAGAAACTAAGCAATAATATATTTAATTTTTCTTACCTGATACCTATAATAGTCATACTAATTAAAATGATCACAGTTTTTAACGTTACTGATTCTTTGTCGATTATTGTTTTCATTTAGGATAATCTTTTTGAATGGCACTTCACAGTAAGAGGGCCCCCAGATTCTGATTTTGATGGAGGAGTTTATCATGGACGAATAGTACTGCCACCAGAGTATCCCATGAAACCACCAAGCATTATTCTCCTAACAGTAAGAATTCTTGGCTTTTTGGAAAACTTGTGGTTTAACTCTTCCTGAAGGCTATAAAATATAGTCAGAAAGTGCTAGGCATAATATCTGGCACGTGTTAAGTGCGCAGTAACGTTAGTAGATCCCCTAGTCACATCATCTCCTTTAACTTTCTCCCAGTCTTGCTCTTTTCCTCTGTTTCCTCTCTTTACCGTGAGAGTGAGACCTACTTCACTGAATTGATGTGGAATTGTTAGTGTCTTATATGTAGCTCTTAGAATAGACTTGACATAGAATCTTCAGCTATTTAATTATAATTTATATCTCAGAATTTCTCTCCATCTTTACACATTTTTTTTTTTTTCAGACAGGGTCATGCTATGAAACAGTTCACACTGGCCTCGAACTCATGGCAATCCTCCTCTCTCAGCCTCCCGAGTGCTGGGATGATAGGCACGCACCACCACATCTGGCACATTTTGTTTTCATGTGAAAGAAAACTATACAACCCCCCTCTTAGTTAAGCTTTCCTTTTCTCATTTCCTTTAATTTTTAAGTAGGTTTAGCTCCCCCTTATCTTTGAAAAACACAAAAACCTTTCTGTTACCACTTTAAGCTGTTTTCTGTTTTTCTGTTTGATAGGGCCTCCCTACTCCAGTGCAGCCTGTTGCAGTCTGGCTTCCACATGTGCTCTGTACACAGTCTCGGAGAGCAGTCTGAGAAATCCCACTGCCTCTTCTCCCTCTTCATCCTGTTCCATCTAAGTTACCTGACCCACAGAGGTAGCAAATGGTGAAACAAAAGGTGTTCATCAGTAAATAGCAAGTGAATGCAGCTTTTACCTACACTCGATAGGGTGGAAACAGCATCTGCTTTAGTGCCAGTAGACCTGGATTCTGGTAGTACCTGGATTCTGGCGGTACTGGGCACTCCACTGGGAGTACCCGGTGGGCCGGAGAAGGGTGTGTGGGGAAACTGATGTGTGTTGTGGGGCTGGGGGAATCATTGGCGGCAGCTCTACCAAGTACAGAAATACTTCAGTAGTTAAACAGTGGCACGGTCAGTTTTACCATGACGAAAACTAGCACTGCCCTCTTGATAGTCAGCATTGTGCTCTTTCTGGTTTACTTCTTGAGTTGGAAGTCTTTTTCAACTTTTCTTCAACAAATAGTTCATAAACATGTGTCATGTGCCCAGCTGTGTGGGTGCAGCAGAGGGTAAGTTAAAGTCTGTGGCCAACTGGAACATACATTGTAACTTCGTTCCTCTTCTTGTTCATCCTTTCCCTAAACCCAGCTCCTTCTACAAAGCAATTTAGACTAATATTTCCTTCTTTATTTCAGTAAGGACAGCATCACTAGCCATCACTGGGTTTATGCCAACAAAAGGAGAGCGAGCCATAGGTTCTCTAGATTACACACCTGAAGAAAGAAGAGCATTTTCCCTGAGTATAGATACTCTCTGTTTAGCTTAAGCTGTTACTTTAGTATTTGTAGGACATGGTGTCAGTGGTCATCTCTGTGAAGAGGGGTGCCCCACCCACATATAAATATACATACATATTTCTTTTTTTACCTGCCTGCTAGACATCATTCACAGTTCTTCCACCAAGCCATCAGATCTAGCTGAAATCATTATCTCTACCTCTTCTCTGTTTCTGACCTAGTAAGTGACATCTTCCTTTCTGAAAATCATGTTTATCTCAAAGCTTTTCCCTCTGTTCTCTTCTTTACCAATATCTAGTCAGGTGACAGTAAGTCCTTAGATTTGTAGCTTCTTGTCTTCTCTTTAAGATCCTTAACTGAGCATAGCTCTGTACTGGGTATAGAGGACATCAGTATATCTTCATATATTAATTACTTCCAGCTATGTAAATCAATTTCAAAAAGATGCTGTATCAGCATCACTTCTTTTTTTTTTGGT